CGACAAGAATGGCTACTTCGACAGGGTGCTTTGAACAGTATTCATTGATCGAATTTGCCCAATGCTTTGTGCCATCTTTAAGCATATATTGAACAACTGCTTGTCCAACATTCCTAGCTTTTATGAGAATTTTCGCCGGCAGAACAAAGACCATTTTTTTCTGACAGAGTACTGCGTGCGGTTTTTCCAGTGACCAATCAGATGCCATTTTGCTTAGGAAGGCAGTTTTACCACAACCTGATCTGCCTTCAAGGAGTACATGACAACTCGACAATTCAGAGATACCGTCATCAAAGATTTCAGACTCTGACTCTATTCTATATCTAGCTTTACAACCTGCAATAGATACATTGAGGTACATTTCCAGTGGTGTGTATACAGCATCCATTGCTGCTTACCTTTCATCACCTGTCACCCAAGGCGTGATGGGCAGTCTGCTCATTTTCTCTGACACAAACTCCCGGATCATCGTCCCAAGTGTGGACACGCTGAATTTTTGGGCAGGTTCTGTTAAAAACAATACCAATTTGATATTTAATGATTGGACGGTGACGGAGTAAAATAAGCAATAATTTTGATCTGTGTAATGTATACTCTCGTTTGGCGTACACAAATCCGTACATTGTGTATTTATATCAGACTATTACTAGACTTACATTACTAGTGCTGTTTATTTTGGACTCAGCAACACACAAATATTGATGTTATCCAGTACTGTGCTATCAATGGATACAATCAAGCCAAAAATAATGCCTGCTTACTCCCATGAAAAAAATAGACGCATTTTTTTAACGCCACTTACCAGTTTTAGGAACTGGGTGGTATACAACTTGCTCCCGATCTTGAGATGGATTCCGTTTGCGTAGCTTCCACATCAAACATGCAGTAATACCAACGAGAACAAGTGCGGAAATAGAGACAAGGGCAGCTATGAGACCAACGTTAGAAGGCTTGATGGAATCTGTCAAAATAAACGAGAAATGAATTCAGCTAATAAAATTGTACCTTTAACCCATTGCAGAAAACACTTCGAGAGAGTGTATCTATACATCTAGACGGACATCTGATGGCGATTATCATTAAATCTCTCATGCAGATACTTAGCCTAGCCGAATTTATAACAACATGGACTCGGTAAACAGGCTTTTTGCAATTAAATAGGTTCTTATGACCACAAATTACTCCGGAAATCTTACCTCTCACGATCACATCCACGTAGGACCTGCGTAACGCTTCGCCATGGGGAAAAACATGACACCAGAATCTGAGAGCATTATGTTGAGAGCAGTTCGTTAGAAGGAGAGAACCTTCAACTGTTAAGCCGAAGCAGGCGTGGTGGTCTATGTCAGACATCATTTTGGAGCCAGTCGGTAGCTCCAGTTTGCCAACCACAGTGGTCAGTTGTGCATCAACAGCACCAAATGACCAAATCAACTTGGTTCTGCTACCTATAGGTACACCTTCAATGGCTGGACAGTGCAGTGCAAACTTGCTATCCGATGCAAATGTTATGACGTCTCCTTTAGTTGCGCTTCCTCCGTCCAATGGAAACATATCTCCTGATAATAAACAATAACAATAATCAAAATTGAGTGGTTTGAAATATATTTCGTAAGCAGTGAGCAACATTGAACACAATGACGCTAAAAGTAAAAAGTTGAAAACGAAAGTAAAACGTAAGCCTAGCCTACACTTAAACGACAAACAGAATTGCCATTTAGGAACACAACATTTTATGTAAAATTTCATGAAAAAAAATACCCAAATCCATCTACCTTAAAAAGAAAAGAATGGACAATTACCAATTACACGGACTTCGACAAGCCCTTCGTTGGCTTCAGGGTTTGCAGAGCAGCTGTAGCTCCCACCATCGTCCTCATCAACGGACTTGATTACCAGACCAAAGTCAAGAGCAAGGTCAAACGATGGATCAGCATGAACAGTACTGGTGGACACCGTGTAATTGACGAGGAGATGGTTGCTAGAGATATCAACTTTAAACCATTGCACCAAACATGTTGCATTGCCAGTTTTCCAAGTTGGACAAGGAATCATCTGCTTCGTTCCCTTCAGCAGATAAAATGATGCTTCTGATGCCCTAAGAGGACCAAGCATTGTAGTCTCACCTGGATTACGTGAACACAAATGAGATCAGTTTTGTTAAATTTTGATTGTAAATGCGCAGGCATCTATACTAAGACGCTCTTGTTCAAGTTCGAACATGTTGTTCATATTAATTGGCGATGCTAGAAACAACGCAAATTTAACAGTTGTCTGACTATGATATTCATATCTGAAACTCTTTATAATAAACCATAATACCTAATACGTGGACATCTATGTAGCAATCGGTCTGTGATCCGTCTGACTGAAATACATGACACCAAAACCTCGCTGCATCGTTTAATGCACTGACAGAATTAACTGTGAGTGTCCCGTCGCTGTCAATGCTGTAATCAACACCATTTTGGAACTGTAGTGTAGCACCATCAGCAAAACGTGCACCAATGATCTCTGTATCTTCAGTAATGCCTTCTCCAAATGACCAATACGCTACGGATGTTGCGTTTGGTGTCAATGACGTGCACTGACACGGTAGCGTCTGTCTGCCTTCTCGCTGCAGTTTTGCAGTGGACAATTTGTACTTGGTTCTGGCCGGAAAAGAATCTCCTGAACACATCATATGCAAATAAAAAAGTTGTGTGACATGAATCATTTCAAATAAGTTGAAACAACTGTCAGAAATAAAGTAAGATATTTTTTTTACATCAACATTGATGTACATTTCCAATGTTGTTTGTTTATGTTTTTAAGCAGATAATTTTATTCGCTTGCCGATAGAGCGATGTTGGCGAGAAACAATAGTCACTCTTATTATATTTATGATGATTATTTTATTGCTCTCCACATTAAAATGATTTTAAAATGCAATTGGAACAAGAGGTGAGGTGACAGGTGGAGAAGGCAAGCCTGAAGAGGAAGACATTTTTTTAATCACCCAAAGGTTCAGTCTGCCAATTGATACAATGAGCTTTAACAAAAATTAAGTAAAAACATAAGTACCTTTCAATATGGCGTGTCAAACGTTGCCAAATTCAATGTTTTACAATTTATATGTTCGATGTTTAATAGTTGTGTGTTATCGTTTACATGTATGTGTGCAAGGGCGGATCCAGGGGGGGAAGGGCAAAGGGGGCCATGCCCCACCCCCCCCCAAAAAAAAAACATTTTTTTTTGACGTCGCAAAAAGGAAGCCACTTCCTACACCAACCAACAAAACTCAACAAAAGCAATACATTTTATTTTGTTGAAAACAATACCAGATATGATTAAAGACTATTTTCCATGACCTACCCCCACTGCCGCATTTTTATTTAATGATCTCAAATCAGGATTACTCTCACTGACCACGAATTCACAAGTTGACTGGAACGCAGCGTAACTTGGCGACCACAATCAGCCAGGTGCTTTGTACCTGATTGACCCAGATAGCTGACCTCGTACACGTTATACGCGCGCGCGTATATTCCTGGCGCTTCTGTAATCACGCAATGTGTAGTGGGAGAGTGCGATTTTATATAGTTTGTCCATACATGCCTTTGGCCCACTTCAGTTTGAGCAAGTGTTTTCCAGTTGACTCGCACTTCAGCGTCATCTAGTTCGTTTGGCTACCACAGGTAAGACCACATTCAACCTCTTAATTTTATTCTACTCTCAGGACAAAGCTTTATTAGCAAATAATGATCAGTCACAAAAAAATATTATTAAGTAATTCACTAATGCAAATTAGGCCACCAAAATGAGGAAAAGGGGATCGAGTAAATTCACGTCCCTCGGAGTAATTTTAATACCATCTCAAGTTGTATTGAGTAAAAATACATACCGATTTTTTTTTGCATGTTAAATAAGGGTCAGAATTGGATCACAGTCTTACAAATTTTATTCATTTATTGTTTATTAGGTTAAAATGTCCAAGTCAAGTCAAAAGGAAAAGGCAGTTCCGACACCCACAAGGGCAAAATTAGAGCGCAGGTCAATCCTTAACTTCTTTAAGCCCGCCATAACCCCTTGCGATAACCCGGAAAGGCCTGCATTAGTTCTGCCGCAGACAGAAGAGCTGGCTGGACCGTCAGGTTTGTCTAGCCTTGGTATTAATGAGTCGAAGTCAGATGCCAAGCCATTGGACATTCAAGAGCCTATAAAGGCACCAAGTACAGTAGGCTACGTTCCCGGGAATGACTTTGGTGTTTTTGTTGAGGCCATTGAGAGCGGAAAAAAGCTGATTGAGGCTGACCGTTGGACACCAACAAGCAAGGATGAATTCCCAGTATCCTTCAAGACTAACCAAGGAAAGCGCAGACCTAGATTGATAAATGACAGCCACCTAAAGAAGTTTGAGTGGCTGGCAATTAGTAGACATAAGCAATTCACAGGTGCATGGTGCTCAGTCTGTGTACTTTTCAGTGTGGCTAAGGCTGCAGGTGGTAGAGCTAAATCCATGGGAGCTGGTAATCAGAGGATGGGAAAACTTGTTCTTAAGCCCCTTACTGATTTTTCAGATCTTACTGGACGGGAAGGCGCTTTGGAAAAACATGACCTGTCAAGCTTTCATAAGGCAAATGCGCTACGAGCGGCCGATTTTTTTACAAAGGGTTGCGCGACCAGAGACAGAAGTTGCGACTTTGGTAGATGGTGCCCGATTGCGCAATTTCATAGCTAATCGAGCAGCTCTATCCGCCATCATCGAAACCCTCCAATTTGCAGCAATGCAAAACATTTCTCTGCGTGGTCATCGAGATGACGGAAACTTGGGGTTGGATGAAGGAAAATGCCAGTATCCTCCGCAGAATGACGGCAACTTCCGAATGCTGTTGAGGTTTCGCATGAGAAGTGGCGACGAGTCATTGAAACGCCATCTCCGCACTTCAACGCACTTCAAACAATGCAAAATACACCAGCAAAACAATTCAAAATGAACTTCTCACGGACACCTTATAAAGATGGACATTATCAAAGACATCAAAACATCTCAGGTGTGGACATTAATGGCTGATGAGACCACAGATCGCGCCAATCGAGAGCAAATGACGATTGTCGTCCGCTACCTGGGAAAGAAGCAGGATGGAGAGGGGCTGATCGTGAAAGAGGACCCTGTCGGTGTTATGGATGCTTTCCCAGAGATCCGCAGCGCAGTTGGAATATCAAAAGCTGAGGAAGAAGTTCGCATGACAGGAAGTAATATTGCAGCAGTACTTGTGAAGAAGACGAGCGAGCTTGCCTTAGATACCAACACTTTAGTCGCCCAGTGCTACGATGGTGCTGCGGCAATGAGCAGTCAGCGAGTTGGAGTTGTCGCCAACATCAAAGACGTAGCACCGATGGCCGACTACTATCATTGCGCCATGCATGGGCTCAATTTGGCAACATCAAGAGTAGTGGCAGTACCGGTCATCAGAAATGCCCAAGACATCATGTCATCAACAATTACCTTTGTCACTGATGGAGCTAAACGTGAAGACCTGCTCACGAAAATTGTGGCTACAAAAGGCGCCAAGGGAAAGCTTATTAAGTTGTGCACGTTGCTGTAGTTTGCTTTTGGGAGCAACTCACGTGCATCGTAACAGCATTGGAGCAAATGACAACCTGGACTGATGCCCGCACGACAAGTAGAGCAATGACACAGCTGGACAGCATCCTGAAGCTGCAGTTTCTTGTTGGACTGGCATGTCTCCGCAGAACTTCCATGCAGCTCCGCTCACTCTCAATGATGCTTCAGGAGAAAGGTGCCGACCTTGTGACGGCTCCAGAGCTGGTGGACTGCACTTTGAAAATCCTCCAAACATGGCGCGAGAACAGCGAAAAAGAGTTCCATCAAATCTTCTCAGAAGTGGCTGAAGTTGCAGGGAAGCTTGACATTGAAATTTCTCTGCCCAGGTTGCCGTTTGTCTCACGATATCGGAACACAGCAGGGGCTACTTCTCCGGAGCAATACTACCAAGTAAATGTGTTCAACACTGCCCTGAATGATCGCTTTGGCCAGCACCAGAGACCAGCCATGAAGCTGTGCTACCTCCTGCCTGAGAAGGTGCGGAAGGCAAAGGCATCCATAGAAGAACTGTATCCAGCATGGGATAAATATCAGTCACTCTTCACCAACAATGAGACTAAGGAGCAGCTTCAAGCAGAATTCCTACTCTGGCAACAAATGTGGCAAAATCGCACAGGTATTTGTAAAATAAATAAACAATACTAATCGATATGTAAAATAACATTATGGCTATTGAATTATATACAGTATTACATATTATTGAATTTTATTCAATGAAATACCACATTTCTTCATAGTTTTGCCTAACTTTCAAAAGCGTGTGGCTTTAGGGAAGTGATTTGCAGCTCTTTTTTTTTTCAGTCAATGAAAAACAGTGTTCCCCCTTCCAAGTAACAGAGATGTTTGTCACTGTCGTTACATATAGATGAAGAGCTACCTCGATCTTCCATTGCTACTCTTAACGAGTGCCATCCCGTCACCTTCCCAGTCCTGCACCGATTGCTTTCAATTTTAGCTGTGCTTCCTTTGTCCAATGCGGACTCTGAGCGCATTTTCTCGAAGGTCGAGCGTACTCTCACAGCACTGCGAGCAACCATGGGTGAGGATCGCCTGGAGTCTCTTATCCTTCTCCATCCCACCGTGACCGTCTTCCAGACATCGATAGTACCGTTGAGTACTTTGCCACCAGTGGTGTTCGCAAAATTGATTTCCAGCTCATCATTTAAATGTATGATACACCATGCGCCTGTTCCACTGCACATTGTGTTTAGCATGCTTTGTGTGGTTCAACATTGATGAAAAAAAAGTGAAAGTGGCGGTGGGGGTTTGAGCTAAATTCGTAGTCCGAATGATGAGAAAATAGTAAAACAGAAAAGAACAAAATAAAACAAAGTAAGAGAAAGGGAAGCAAAAACCCTCCGTTTTATCTGTGATTTGTGCACTTTTTTTTACCCACTTTTTCGGGGGACAATTTTGTTTGCCCCCCCCCCCTAAATTGTGTTCTGGATCCGCCGTTGTATGTGTGATTTCAGTATATGTGTGCGACGTTCAATATATGTGTGTGATGTTTTACAATATTGTGTGTGATGTTCAATATATACATGTATGTGCGATGTTTTATATTTATGTTGCGATTTTCAATGTATATGTGCGATTTTTTACAATATATGTGCGATTTTTCAATTAAATGTATGCGATGTTTTACATTAAATGTGCATTGTTTTCGATATAATTATGTGTGAAGTTTTACAATATTTTTGCGATATTCTGAAATATGTGAGCGATGTTTTACAAATATATGTTTGATATTTTGAGCAAATATTTGATGTTTAATCATTTCTGTATTTGATAATTCATCCTATATGTATTCGATCTTTTTGAAATATGCATTTGATGTTTCGTTAAGAGTCGCAGTCTGGTTACTAGACCGCAAAAGTCTGATATTTTGCTTAAAGTCAGTGTATGAGACGTCAGGGGATCGCGTAAGTGATTAGAGCCAGACCTAAACCGGAATTGTGGGTAATCTCGGAGCATGCGCAAAGCAGTCGTCATTGTTTGGGCAGTACCGCCAGCTGGGTACATGTGTTTGTACTTTGTACATGGTCTGTACATGTACATGTACATCATCCATAATGCCCACATGCCATGACGAAAACAAAACCAGCCTTTATTTACACATAAGTGCTAGCATGGTGCTATAAAAACCAATCGGCGCAGTACCAGCTGCAGTTTCATCGTAATTCTCGAAAAAAACAGCCCACCGTAAACAAAATAAGCAGAGTTACAGAATTCGTTGGCACACGCGAGGGCTTCCTTGCTCTATGGTGAGAGACTGAGGATATTTTTTGGCAAAAGATGTTTTCTTTTTAAAACTTTACGGATTAATATTCAGTGCAAGGAGTGAAGTCATATTTAGACTTCTTCTCAAGTTACACTCTCAGTCATTTTTAGTACAAAAGGGCCAAATGTAAAATGTCGAATATCCGAGTGCTGTAAATTCGAGCAGGGAGGATTACGGTTGCGCTAAGAGGGATTGAGTCTGACCTTTATACGGCCGACAAAGAAAAGAAAAACATTAGGCCTGTGTCTTTCACTAGAGAAAGAATAGAGAAAGAAAGGAAGGATATCCAAACGTCAATTATCAAGCGCCCCGAATTGCGAATAATTCGGTATCAATTAAAACAGTCTCAGCCAAACTCATTTCACATCGAGGCTTACATCCAGGCACTTGACTCAACACCCATTTTTCATCGCGGATAGAACAGATTTCCGGCATTGGAATGAATTTGGTCCGTCGTTAATGACAGAAATTTTAATTTGTTGTTAAATCATCTTACGAAAGGAAGAATGGAAAAGAATGTATAAACGCTTTGAGAAAATCGGTGCATTGGTAAACCCAGCCCAATTAATTTTATAATAAGACGGGGATACGGACTTTTTCAACATTCACTGCCACTGAGTGAAACGAAAACCCGTAATTCAGTCAGGCGATTTTGTTCCATCGCTAATTTCAGAAATGTCCGGATTGGATAGATGGGTAAAGGCACAAGTTTAATTTATTATTGCCCCGAATGATTCGGTACTTAAACAGTCTCAGCCCAACTAATTTCACATTGAAGTTAAAATCCAGGCAAAACATTTTAAACATACATCGTTCATCAGAATTACGGATTTCCAGCTTTTAAATGAATTTGTTCCATCTTTAATGAGACAAATTTCGGGGTTCTTGTTGTTAAATCATCTTACGAAAGGGGGAATGAAATAAAATCCTGCCCCGAGAAAATCGACACACTGGAAAACCCAGTCCAATTAATTTAATTTAAAAACGGAGATCCGGCTTTTTGCAATTCCTTCAAATCCACCGTGAAATCGGTCCCCCCTCGCGACGCCCATGTTTTGGACGGGAAAATATTGCAAAAGTAGCAAACGGACCGGAGTTTGTACCCGAACACAGTGCTCGCCAAAAACGCACCCATTTTGCCGATAAACACTGAGTCCCTTGCTCTATGATGCAAGCAATCATAATGGTGAAATTTTTCAGTCATATTAACTTTTTTTGTGTTGTAGTCGGTATCGGCCGTATGGTCTTAATCCCTCTCGGCGCCGCTCCCGGCTCGAATTCACAACACTCGATCGGATATTCGACATTTTGTACTATAAAAAAGAGTGCAACTTGAGAATAAGTCTAAATTGGTACTTCACTACTAGCACTGATTATTAAGATTGTCAAGTTTGAACTTGAAAGAAAATATCTTCGGCCAAAATGTCGCACAACTTCCATCGTGTGCCAAATAAGCCAATGAATTACGTAACTCTGTCGCCTATTAGCTTATGTAACAAATTATCATGTAACTGGATCATTAACGGGACAGGTGGACACTCGGCCTTGGAGCTTCCATGTGTCATGCACTCATCAATGCATACATGGACGTAGTAGCATGGATGATGCACATAACACTATGATAGTACAAGCACAGCTGGGGGTACTGCCAAAACGATGATGAATGCATTGCGCATGCTCAAAGAATTACACAATTTTTTTACCGTTTAGATCTGGCTCTAATCACTTACGCGATCACCTGACTTCTCATATACTGACTTTAGGCAAAATAGTCAGACTTTCGCGGTCTAGTAACCAGACTGTGACTCTTAACGAAACATCAAATGTTAAGTGAAACATCAATTGCATATTGCAAAAGATCGAACACAAATATACCGATGAATCATCAAATACATTGCTCGAAATATCAAACATATATTTGTAAAACATCGCCTCACATATTGGAAAATATCGCAAATATGTTGTCAAACATCACACACAATTGTATCAAAAAACATCGTACATTTAATGTAAAACCTTGAACATAATATTGAAAACATCGCACATATATATCGTCAAACATCGCACATATCGTCACCGTTTTCACGAAGAGCCACATATCTCCAAAATTACAATTTTTTTCGATTTTGATTTTTTTTCGATATTTCGCATTAAAACAATGTACTTAACCATTTTGACATGTTTCTGTAAGCAAAACATCATTAATTTCTAAGTTACATTAATGTTGCAAGGGGCAGAAATCTCGATAACTGCATTTTGCGTTTTCACGAAGAGCCACATACATTTTGGCCCTTTGAACGCGTACAAAACCCATTGCACGGAAATACGTAAAAGTAGGTCAAATGAGATTTGCGTTTTCACGAAGAGCCACATATCTTTGTTACATTTTCAGGCGCGCGCGCGTACTCACGCGCGCCTATGGAAATACACGTTGAACAGAAAGGGCCAATATGTCGGAAACGTGAATTTGCGTTTTCACAAAGAGCCACATATCTTTACTAATTAATTTCCACTAATTAAGTGCTTTATTAAGTCTTATTACCGGGTTTATGTAAAACTTCAGCTCACGTAGAATCGTGTGATGGTTTTCTTGCTGCACAAAGTTGTTGCAAAGTAGTATTTCTTGCAGTTTTAAAATATGAGAAACTTCTTTTGTGATTATCTCGAAAACACTTTACTTCAAAATCAACATAATATAT